CGGGTCGTCAAAATATGCGTTTTTGCATATATGCAAATGCAAAAACGCATATTCGCAAGAAGCTGTCTGTGTATTTGCACTTTTTATCACCCATTTTCAACTCGAGAACCAGAAAAGCTAAAAGGCTGAAACCTCGGTAGCATGTGCTTACACCATGTGCGACCCTCCTATTTTAATACCATCACTCAAGTACGTCTGGGTCCCAAGTGCGAGCGCCTCTAAAGAATATGCAAATTTTTGGCGAAAAAGCGGCCTCAACAGCCAGAGAAGAAGATAGCAAGCAGAAAATTTGCAGAGAATATTCACTGTATGTGTGCAAACTAAAGATTTTAAATGCAGCTCCGATGTGTCCGTGGTTCACAAATGCGGGTACAAGAAATCTTTGGCGAGAAAATTACTAACTCGATAACTGAGTAAGCAGAGGTAACCAGAAAAGCTGGAAAGTTGAAATTTTAGAACATTCCCTATCCAAACACAACTTAAAGATTTCAAATTCAGCCTACAGGTATACGTGGTCCGCTTGTTTGGGCATTTGAATTGTCGGCGGGAGAAACTACTCATGTACAGCTGGGCCATTTTCAAAAAAAAACCGCTAGGCAGGAATTGTTTATTTTGTCAATTCACAATTTACGATGATTTACCGTAGTGAGCGGACAAAGTAGTTGTGAAACAACATCCATTCATACAGTTAGCCTTGTTACTTCAAGTTTGGTGCAAAAACGCTTCAAGCGTCCCAGTCTGCTTTGTATTTGCATATATGCAAAAAGACATGAAATTGAAATGCTTTCGGTGAGGAAACGCATTCAAGAACCAGTTAAGCTAGAAAGCTGAAATGCCACAAGGATATTCTCGGCCCATTTGTGATCAGTGGTCTTCAACAGTGGTATTTCTCAAACATGCGCAAGTAAAATTTAAGTTAGAGCACTAGTGGCTCGAGAACCAGATTAACTGGAATAATTTATTTCTTTTAGAATGTTAGCTGTCTAGGCACGGTCCAGCAAAGCACAAAATGAGTTTTCGAGTATAGTTATGGTTTGCGTTCGAACACATCAAATTTTAAATTTGCGAAACTGTTGGCATCCCTTCCTCTTGAAAATCAAGCTGAGTAGAAAATCACACTCTAATGCGGATATTTCTTGCCCTTGTAATAATTCAGGCGCGTAAACCGAGCCAAATCTTAGCTACGAACGTATCAAGATCCAATTTGCAAAATCTTCTAAAACAGAAATTTCAAAAAGGTTTACAATGCTAAGTTACCTTCTGAATGTTTAACTCAAGCTGCGGCACACCAGGCTCGCTGGTACGATTATGCGCTTTCGCGCTAAACTTGAAGTAATGAGGTTGACAAGTTTATGAATGGTTGTTGCTTTACTTTAAATTTATGTGCCCTTTGCCACAAATGATTATATATTTTGATTATAGAAAATAACTGATTTCTGCTGGCCAGCAGTTTATTAAAAACGACTTAGCTTTTCTGGCTTCGGGGTTAGCAGCCTTCCCGCCAGAATCTGCACTTGTCTAATTCATTTTTACCTAGAAACTACGAAATCTTTAGATCTCACGTGGACGGGGTGCGTGTTCTTAAAATTTCAACTTGCCCGCTTACTGGATTTCTAAGTTACCCGCCTCCGCCAAAAATTTCACCTGTTTGCACTTGGGAAACACACATACCCGGAGGCTGAAGCTGAAATATTTAAACTGTACACAGATAAGGAACATGCCCTTGAAATTTCAAGGTTCCAGCTTTCTTGATCCGGAGTTAATAACTTTTCTACCGAAATTTCCACGTTCCCGTACGCAGGGGTCGGAAATTAGCGATAGTTGTTACCTTATTTCTAAATAGTTTCGCCATGAATTTCATTGAGAAAATTCCAGCATCAAAGCTTGCTCAGTTGCTGAATTGAAACGTTTGAAAAGGCGCACACACAAACACACACGCACACCACATATACACGCACACCATGGAACACGCCTTTTTGCACCTGCATAAAATATCTAAAAACTCATAAAAATGACAAAAGTTTTTCCAGCACCATGCGAAAATACGCGACCACATTAGAAAT